GTGGTGGAGTTTCAGTTCTTCACATATAATGTGTACTATGCGTCAGGTCCCGATCAAAGAACTTTACAAATATTAACTCATTTTCTCCTTACAATGACCCCAATGAAGCAGATTATTATCCCCATTTATAGGTGAGGACACTGAGGCACAGAGAGAGTAGGTAACTGGCCCAGGACACACAGCTGGCTGGTGGGAGAGCAGAGAGCTGACCCACACTTTCGGCCACTGCGCTCTGCTGCCCGCGGGTCGGTTTGCTGGTTTCATTCAGTCGTTAATTTGTGAAACTGTTTTATTGAGGTATAATTTAATGGTATAACTTAATCTAAAATTCACCCATTTTAAATGTGCAGTAGAAGAACTTCATTAGATTTATAGAATGGTGCAATCATTGCAACAAACCCCCCAAAAGATCCTTTGCGTCCATCTGCAGTCACTGTTCGTTTTGACCTCTAGCCTGACGCAACTGCTAATCTACTTTCCGTCTCTGCAGATTTGCCTCTTGTGGAAATGCCAGGGAAATAGAATCATACGCTCTGTGGTCTTTTTGAGTCGGGCATCTTTCGCTCAGCATGATGGTTTTGAGACCGGTCCGTGTCATGTAGTCATCAGCACTTCGTTCTTTTTTATTGCTGAGTAATATTCCACAGTGTGGCTAGTCCAAATTTTGCTTATCCATCCGCCAGCTGTGAACATCTGTCTACAACTCTTTGTGAGGACATGCGTTTCCCTCTCTTTGGGTATATTCGTAGAAGTAGAATTGCTGGGTCATATGGTAAATTCATGTTCACCTTTGAAGAAACTGCCAGACTTTCACCGAGGTGCTGAAGCATTTTCCATTCCCGTGCCCGTGGATTTTACAGTCGGCGGGGGCCAGGGTTCCTGTCCCAGGGCCACCCATAAAGCCGGACGAGCCTGATGAGAATCTCAGACCAGCAGGCAGTAAAGTGAGGCCCGAGGGCCCCCGGCAGGTCAAGCAGAGCCTCTCTGCTGCTCCTGATGGTCTGAGAAACAGGGAGACACGACGTCAGCTGTTTCGCTGTCATCTAGAAGGATCACCTTCCGGGACCAACAGCACTTGCCGGGGGAAATCAGCTATTAAACCAAAGGAAAATGTGGAGACGTCGAGAGAGATCTCACCAAGTAAGAAAAGCCACTGGAGAGAGCAGGGGAGGCCCCTTCGGGCGCCTGGTGAGTGGGCCAGTGGCCCTCACGCTCTGGAGGCCGCTTCCTGCCACCAGCTCTGTCACGGCCTTTTCCAGCTTCCTCAGACGCCCAGTGAGAAGAGGATGGGGTGACGGCCGGAGGGCAGCCCTGGCGGCCAGCGGCCTGGGAGAGCCGTCGGGTTTCCACTGAGCCAGGGTTCTGAGCAGGAGGTGCTGTGGCCCCGCCGGGAAAGGCCTCCTCCGCACGGCGCACCCCTCTAGGAAGGGGGACACAGCCCCCCGTCAGCCGGGGCCGCTCCGACCACGGCCGACTCGCCACTGTGTGCTACATGTTGCCCCAAAGAGTTGTTTTCTTAGTAAGGCTTGGGGTTTCCCTATTCAGTGAAGAGATGCAACGGTTGACGAAGAGGTTTTGACATTTCGGGTGGCAGCTCCAACGAGAACGCTGACCCTGGCCCGTGGCGGGCGGCCCACAGAGACTCCCCGGCACAGACAGGGTCCTGGCTGCCATAGCCACGGAGCCCACAGGGAGGGCACTGGCCAGGATGTGACGGGACGGAATGGGACGCTGCCTGCCTCAGCTTACTCCTAACAGCCCATGGCTCAGGACAGGAAGTAACGGAGACCCAATCTGGGCCTGTCATCGCTCGGGGAAGAGAAGGCACGGTGGCCCAGGGGGGTCAGGCCAGCCCTTGGCCGCGTGGGGAAGGACCTGGAGCTCCACATGTCACACACTAACCTCTGGTCACAAGTGATGACGGAGGCTGCGTCCGCTATCAGACGCTATCCTAAGTGTCTCCCAAACCTTATATGGTGAGTTCCAGATGGCAGCCGACGGGCCCTCAGAGAAGGTCCTTGCCAGGCCCTGGAGCAGACAGTAGAGGTGCGGAAATCATCACTTCAGCCTGCCGGGAGGTCCCAGGCCCTTAGTAACCATACTGGGTGAAACAGCATCCTCCCAAAATTCATGTCCACCCGCACCCGTGAATGGGACCTTCTTTGGAAATCGGGGCTTTGCAGGTGTCATTAAGGTAAAATGAGATCATACCGGGTCCTAATCCAATGACTGGTATTCTTACAAGAGGGAATTTGGACACAAACCCAGAGCAGACACAGAAGAGATGGCCACATGAAGACAGCGATGGGAGGGACGCAGCTACAAGCCAAGGAAGTCCAAGGAGTGCCAGCAACACCGGAAGCCGGAAGAGGCAAAGAAGGATTCTCCCTGGAGCCTTAGGAGAGAGTGCGGCTCTCCTAACACCTTGATTTCGGATTTCTGGACTCCAGAACTGGGACAGAACAAATTCCTGTTGCTTCAAGTCACCCAGTTTGTGGCACTTCGTTACAGCAGACGGGAGGCTGGGCTCAGGTCACACGCAACACTCTGTGCGGGCAGGTGTTGGAGGGGAGGGAAGACGGGGTGAGAGGCTGCACAGGAGGGGGGTGCCTCCTTCAGCTGCGTCTGCTGTTTGGACAGGAGGCCCATGGAACAGAACTAAAACTGGGGGCTCAGCACGGCTCATGGCAGATCCAGCTTTAATGGCTCATGGTTCTCCATCTTTGGGACCCGTCGTGCCTGGGAAAGGTACCGTACCCCGTGGGTGCTCAGGAGACGTTCATGGCATCTCTCGCTCCCTGTGTCCCCCGAGCCCCAAAGCTGGGCCTCCTGCCTGGTCCTGGCCTCCCTCTGCTTCGCCCTGGATCGATGGCAGGACTGGCCAGTCGGGCTGGAGGGAGCTAACTCAGCTTTACTAAAAAACCAATTTAGAGGCTGCTGCTGGCTGCTGAGTTGGCAGAGATGCGTTGGCACCTCTGAAAGTTGTCAGGAGGGATTCCTGCTTACCCAGGCTACGGGCTCAGCCCATGATCGCCGCTCCAGAGGCTGTGGTTTTATCCTGAGTGTGAGCCATGGAGAACAAGAGCCCGAGGTCAGCCAGGAGCGGGATTAGCATCGGCCCTCCAGGTTATACTCACCACGTCGTTCCATTCACCACGTTGTCTGTATTCAGCACCTGGCAATGAGTGCTCAGTGCCCAGGCTGGATGCCGGGCCGAACTGAGCTTGCCGGCAGCTTCTGACCGCCCACCCAACAGCCGGCCGCTTCCCATCAGCGTTCAGCTCGTCCCGGGCAGGGGTCCCCCTGCGATGCGCGAGTGACCAGCCCATGGAAACTCTTCCAGCACGAATAGGACGTCAGAGTCCTGCTGGCCCCTTTACAAGAGCCCAGGGGAGTCTCTTCACGTGGCACTGTGGGCTGTGGGGTAAGAGGATGTCACACAGCCCAGCTGGACTGAAACCTAGATCCTTCCATGCCCTGAGCCCGATGGCTGGTTTCTCCAAGGGTCCTTCAGTCAACGATCCCCACCGGGGAGGCCTCAGGGTGCTGACGGGGAATGGTTTGGAGTGATCAGGGTTTGCACTGAATAGTACCCTCCAAAACTTGACACTGAAAGGTCAGCCACTCAAAAAGGCTCTGGGTGTTGACCACGCCTGCTCTGGGCAGCCATCAACCCACGCAAAGCCCCAGCAGACCGCGAGGTGCCTGCTGCCCCGTCGGGGCCAGCATCCGGGCCCTTCTCTCTTCCCCAGGGTATGCTCAGCCGGACGGCCGGGGAGCTGGACGGCTGAGCAGGATTTCCCACACCAGGCCTCCCTGGAGATCCCAGGGGTGGAGGCAAACCAAAGCCTAACGCTGGGTGTTTAATCTCCGCACAGAGCGTATCAACACGGTGCCAAGGGGGCAGTGAGGCACTGAGGCCAGAGGGCCCTGAAAAGCGGCTGGACTTTTGCTCTCTTGTCTGTATCCAGTGTGAGGACTCGAGCTCTGGGGCAGCCGCCAGAGCTCGTGGAGGAGAAGGAATGTTCCGGACAGTTGCACGGACATGAACACGGGGCACCAGAGCTCAGAAAGGTGGGTGCTCCCCAGAGAGCCCCACTGCACAGCCTGGCAAGGCCAGGAGCTAGGAGGGGGACTTTCCAGCAGAACTGGAGTTCCTGGCTTCCCGAGAGGAACAATGCCGGGAGGGAAGGGGACTCCGGCCACAGATGGCGCATCCTGCCCATGGAGCTCCCAGCAGCTTCCAAAGGCCGCTGTCCCCCAGTTCCACCTCTCCGTTTTCTTTGTCTGGCGAGCTCTCAGCTACAGGCTCTTGGCTGTGGGGTCCTTCTCAGAAGAGCCCAACTGTTTGTCCTTGGGAGCCAAGACCCCAATTCAAGCTTGGCTACAAGAGCCAAACCCAAGTGGTGGGAGGAGGCCAGTGTTGGCCCACAGCCTGCCCCGGCTCAGGGCCTCGCTGGCTCCTGGGGACTAGTTCTAGTTCTCCAGTGGCTGTCAGTCCGCACAGCCATCTGCCCAGGACCTCTGGGGTCCTGGCACAAAGCAGCATCTCAGACTCTGAGCTCCAGCAGGGGTGAGGAGGCCAGGACAGGTGTGTGTATGGAGGGGTGGGTTTACTTGATGTCGGAGCTTAAAGAGCCGAAGACCAGTCCAAGCCTAGGCCAGTCCCCACCATGAGGAGACGGTAAGCCCAGAGAAAGGAAGGGTCCTCTTTCCAGACTGTTTCCAAGCATCCTGGCTGGCCAGTTACTGACCCAATGATTCCTTTGGGGCCTGGGCCTCTGGCCCCTCTGCCTCAGTTTACACAGTGGAATTCTCCCTCTAGCCTCAACTCACCCTACCGAGCAGCAGCCTGGGGGCCTGGGTAGAGCCGTGGCAGACCCCAGGGTCCTTCCAGGGCAGCTCCCCTTGCCGAGCCCACTGTTAACAAGATAATCCCCCGCCCTCCCCAACATTCCCCATTAGCCCAGGCACAGAAAAAAACCACCATTAACAAATGCTGGAATGAGTCACTGACATGAACTTTATTGGATCACTGGGTGTCATGGGTTCACCAGATCACAGACCCGCGGTGGAGGACCAGCCACAGTTCGAGCATCATTATCCGGGGACGTGCACATCCTCACTTAAGTGTCTAGGAAGCACCAGGCCCCCAGGGAGGAGGCCAGTCTGCGTGGATGAACCCACACTGGAATGACCCCTTCCGGGCACCTGGCAGCTGAGCCCCCTGCTCCGATGTCACAGTCGCTGAGTGGTGGTGGCAGAACAGAGAGGCAGCCCTCCCCTCAGCACTCACTCCTTCCCAGGCCTTGCGGGGTGGGGGCGCCAAGGCCTGGCGCTGAAAGGGGAAGTGGAGTGGCAGGTGAGAGGAGCCCTGGAGCCTGCGCAGGGCCCTGGGGAGAGAGGCCTTGGAGCCCGGGTAAGGCAGAGAAGGTGTGCAGCTCTCAGACCTCACGACTGCCTACTTCCCGTCCCTCTGGCCCAGGCTGGGGGAGGGCAGCCTCCTCAGACTGGACAGCTGCTGAGGGTGCCGGGGTGCAAGAGACGCAGGACAGAGCAGAGGGGGTGGTCCCACGCCCTACGGGTCTGGGCACAGGGCAGGAGCAGGGTACTAGAGACTGATGGTGGCCAACAACCAGCTTGGTTGGGGGCCTCCCTCAGGGCTTGCGGTTGCCCCCGATCAGGAAAGCATCTGGGGTCCTACTTCCAAACCCCCTTCCAGGGTCCTTTCAAGCAGGAGAAGCCGAGGGACAACAGGGGTTGCGTTTCACTAAAAACCGTGTTTCATTAAAAACTAGTTCGGAACATGAAGAATATATTTAAAAAGATATTCTTTGCTCTATTAAACATCGTTCACTGAGAATTTCCTGAGCACTGTGCCATGCCTCGACCCGGGTGCCAGGGCGTGGGGGGTCCAAGGGAAGTCTAAGGCACTGGCCCTGCTCTGGCACAGGGCTCCTTCTCCCTGGAGAGACGGTCCCCACTGCTGAGAGGCCGGTGAACATGTCCAGATCTGGGGGACAGGGAAGGCCTGGCACCACCCACCTCTGGACAAAGTGCTCCAAGCAGTAGCCAGGAGCATCTACCTAGGCCCCCCGTGAGTAGGCCTAGCTGTAGGCCCAGGCAGTGTTCGGACCACGCTGCTCAGAGCTGCAAGGGTGGACACTGGCCATATGGCCAGAGGCCCCCGGAGGCCATGGTCTGGCCAGGTATTCCCTGGGAAAGGAGGGAGGACGACCAGGGGCTTGTCAGGCCGTCCACACCCGAGAGAGGCAGGGCTGGGCCTCGTGTCTCCCTCAAGATGGGCACATGGGAAGGTACCTTGCTTAGCACCTGAGGACCAGAGGCAGCTCAGGGACACTCCACCCAACCAGGCTCTCCCAGGTACCCCCTCAGCATCCGTCCCCCGGGGACCCTCTCGGATCCTGCAGGCCCCCAGGAGCCACACTGCCCAGGGACTCCAGCCCCCACTCCCAGGCTGGGTGGACCCTCCCTACTATGCAGTAGGCACGAATGGACACAAAGTTTCCCTGCCCTGAGTAGGACATCCCAGGGTCCCTGCAGTCTCAACTTCATCCCGGGGGCTGAGCTCCTGGTTAGCAAGGCACCCCACATGCTCTCCCCTCCACATCCATGTGGCTGAGACAGTTCGGGCTCCAATTCCTATGGTGACCTCTCTCTCTGTGCCCTGCAGGGTTCTATGACCCCACAGGCAAACAAGACAAGACAAAAACCCAAGGCAGTACAGGGGTCCTATGACCTGGGCGTCCACCCCCCTCCCCTGGGAACAGAGGTCCTGGCCCTGCAGGGCACAGGGCCCACCTCACCACATCGCTCCGGGGAGAGGCTCTGCCGGCCCAGGGCCAGTCCAGGGGGTGGGGGCGTCAGAAGAGGCTGGGGTCGGCCCGGCCGGGCGCATCGTGGTCCCGGATATACTGTAAGATGTCCATCTCATCCATGGCTTGAATCTGTTGCTGCTTCCGCTGCCCCACCACGGCCTCCGACAGGCCCACCCGGGGGGGGACAGCTGGCTTTCTGGGAAGCGCCAGCCTAGCGGCCACTGGTACTTCACACTCAGGCTGGGGCTTGGGGGTGGGCTCAGCCCCCAGGTTCAGAAGCTGGTCCAAGTCCTCTTCAACTCTAGGGAACCAGAGGGGAAGCTCTGAATATGACCGCCCCGCAAAGGGAGCAAGGCCCCGAGGCAATGGCACCCCACTCCGGGGAGCGCGACAGGCCGCGCCCCAACCTCTCCTTTCTGCCAGCCTGCCCCACAGCCCCACAGCACAGGGGGAGCAGAGCCGGCCCCTCGCAGCCTCTGGAGGGCTCTGCTTTTCACGTGGTCCCCCTCTAGACGATGGCCCTTTAGGGGACTTGTCCTTCAACCTCTCAAGAAGTAAGAGTAACAGCTGCTGGATGCAGAGCTCCCGCTCCGTGCCAAGCAGCCCAGACACAGTATCTTGTTTTATCCCCAAGCCCTTTGGGGGTACAGCTGCTGTCCACCCTGCAGACGTGCAGGCTCAAGCCCCAGGCCGAGCTGCCCGTGAGATGACCGCGTGTGATGCTGCCTGAGTCAGGACTAGGGCGTCTGACTTCAGAAGCTGAGCCCTCATCTGGACCAAGTTCAGCCCGAGAAAGACTAAATGAGGGGATCTGACCATGGTGGGGTGGGGCTGCCCATCCACGGTGCCCACTGTGGGCCACCCGGGTGCTAGACAGAGCCTGCCGAGAGCGGAGCCATGGTCCCGGACCTGAGAGCCCACCGTGCGGTGGGACTAAAGCCTGCAGCAGGGGGACGGTCACACAGGACCCGCCCCAGGTACCGGACGGCGGTTGAGCAAAGCAGACCACAGCCCAGCTCTGCCCTCTTTGCCTGAGGAGCACCTCCTGCCAGTTCCTGGCGGAAGAACTCCATTTGGTCTGGAACCAGGAGACAGAAGGAGACCCAGGGATGGGGGCAGGGGGGAGTCTGGTAACACTATCGTAGGGGCTTTCACAGAGTCACACGGAAAATTCCCTTTGAAATCCTAGGGCCAATTTTTGAATTCTTAAAAGAGGATTCCTGGCCCTTTACATGCTTCCTAAACCAGCGACCAGCAGAGACATCCGCACAAGTGCTGCCCACACCTGGGCAAGGTGTCTAAGGGCATCTCAGTAGGCTGCATGGGGACAGGGGAGGAGGGTTCAGGTGCCGGAGGCAGAAGACCCCGGTGTCCCCAACCGCGAGACAGTAACGGCGGCATCACCCAGCAAGGGCTGCAGAGCCGCCGTGGGCCCGGGAAGCACAGCACCGAGCCCGGAGCGCAGTTCCGTTTCTCTCCCACTACGCTTTCACCAGCGGCCTTGGGTCCGCTTCATCACGCTCCTTCCCTGGTCCTCAGTCTCCCCATCTGTCAATGGGATCCAGCTCAGACATGGGCCGGCCTAGGAAGAGGCCTGTTTGGGCGTGGCGTGCCCAGCACCACCCTGCCTGCCAAGTACCAGCTGCCAGAGGAGCTCCGGGTCACCGCCTGCGGCGGGGCAGAGACCCCAAAAGCAGAAGTCAGAGCCCCTGCGGATGGCAGAGATGTCCTTCCAGTCCAGACCGAGAGGGCCTGGCCCAAGCCAGGCCTCCGAAGAGAGGTAGCTGTCTTGGGCTTGCGGCAATCCCCCCAAGTGTAACCCAGCATGGGCTGCTCCTGACCAGACCCCCCAAGCAGCAGCTCTTCCCTGAGCTCCCCACGGCAGGTGCTGGCTCCTCCTGCATCCTCCACTGGAGCTGGAGCCCAGGGAAAGCTTGGGGGGCACTGAATTATCTGCACGCAGGGGCCCGTAGGGAAACAGACCAGCAGCTAACAGCCCATGTCAGCGTCCACGATTTATACAGCTGGGGCAAACACTGCTGGGAACTCACCAGAAGCTGCTGAGGTGGTGGGGGGGCACCCCTTCCCACGTGCTCTATTTGTACCCAGGCACCCTGAGTCACGGCTGGAATTGGGTCCCACTAACGCAAGGTCCGGCTCCCAAGGAGAGGCTGCGGGGAGCTCCAAAGACCCCAGCCCCACTCCCCCTCCCCAGGCCCCTGCAGGGGACAGGCCACCCACTGGCCTGGCTGCTCAGCAAGAGGGAGCTGAGGCTTGTCAGACTCCAGCACCTGCCGGGCACAGCGCTCCGGGGGGCTTCAGGCTCGCTGATGGCCACGATGGCATGAACAGACGCGTGACAGCATCGGTGAATGAATGAGCATCAGGAAGCTTTTTTATCACAAGCAACCCCGATCGCTGCCCGGAGAGTCACAGGGCCAGCACAAAGGCGAATAGAACCCGGCTCCCGCTCTCCGAACGCGAATTCTTCATCACCAGCTGTGTGGCAGAGTGAAGGCAGGGCCACGGACACCCGTTCTCCAGTAACCCCCAGAGGGCTCTGGGGGATGCCAAGAGGCACGCCAAAGGGAGAGGGTCCCCGAGACCAACGGGAACGTGCAGTACCCCACGCTGCTTCCCACTCATGCCCTCAGAGTCCTGCTGAACACTGGTATTGCCCCAGCCATCCGGCCACAGAACCCCCTTGAAGGCAACACCGGAGTTCTGCAGAACGCGGGTCGGGAGGCGCTGGTGTCAGACTCAGAAGGAACCGTGCCAGCGCAGTCCCCGGGGAATGGCCTCCCTGGGACGCACTGAGTCCTGGAGATGGCGGAGCCTCCCCGGGCAGGGCGCACTCAGGGGGGCCCTGCCGCCCTCCTCACGGCTGAGTCTGCTTCCCCGTGCCTCAGTCTCTCCTCTCAAGACAGCACCGCCCCAGCTTCTCCCAGCCTGCCGGGGCGGTCAGGGCCAAGGACACAGATGACAGTGAAGAGACGCCAGGGGCCACGGGGAGCTGTAAAGACGAGACAGCGTTCGCTGTGACCCGGGCATTGACAGGGCTGCCTAACAGCCGAGGCTGCTAACGAGGGCGCAGATGACAGCCTCTCGGCACCACGTAACCGTTCCTGGAAAGACACAGCTTGGCCTCCCGTACACCGCTGAGCAAGGCTGCGTTCTGGGGGCACGGATGACGCAACGGAGACGCACAGTCCCAAGCACGCGGAGAGCGCAGCCGGCACACGCCGAAGCCTGGGGAGCGCTGCCAGCCCGGGGCGGGAGGCAGATCTCCCAGCCTCCTCTCCTCTAAGTGCTTCGAGAGTCCTGGAAGGAGCAGGGAGGACAGGACACAGGCCGGTGTCCTGTCCTCCAGTTGGGGGAGCCGTGGCCTTGGACCAGTTACCTCTCCCACACTCTGCTCTCTAAAACAGAGATCGAGCCTAGGTGGGGGGCCGTCGTGAGGATGAAATCGGGCCGCGTGTGGAGTCTAGCACACAGACCACGGCAAGTGCTCTGAATAGGTGCTGGCACTTGTCCACCCACCTCCGCGGAACAGACTACGCCTCACACTCCCTTCTCCAGCCCGCGCTGGGACCCTGCCGGGACTGGCCGCGGTCCGGCACATCTGCACTTTGCTCCCCCCGGGAGGGCTGTGTGCTACCAAGAACCCATCTTAGTTGTTCCCAAACCCACTTATGCCAATTATACTTGCTCTTGCAATTATATAGTTTAATTATTCTTCACATAAACTATAAAAGTGTGAACATGGAAAGGAAAAGACTTGTATTCATGAAGTTCTTTCTGGAACCTGCAGGGCTGCGTGGGGCTGCGGCCCACCCCCACCCCAGCCCCCCCCACTGCCTCCCGGTCAGCGCCCACCCACAGGCTCCTGCCTCGGAGGGGCCAAGATGGCCTCCCTTGGAGGCCGAAGCTGGGAGATGCTCCCACACAGGGACAGGTCCCTGGCTCTGTCTAGGCTACTCTCAGGGCTGGTGGAGAAGCACCGAAAGGGACAGGTGGTACCTGAACAGCTCCGCGTGGGACATGGGCCCTCCACTCTCACTGGCGGCAGGCAGCAGTAAGGGGTCACCCAGAGGGACTGCACCGCCGAGGTCAGGATCTTCAAACAACTTCAGGGCTGTGGGGAAGGGAGGAGCAGAATGGTCCAGAGGACGTCCTGGCCCGTCCTCAGCTGCCAAGAGGGTACAGGTGGAGACAGCCTCGCCCAGCCTCCTGGCCCAGCCTGGAGACAGTGGGCAAGGGAAAAGGCTGAGCACAGAGAACCCGAGGAAGAGGCCCAGGTGGGGAAAGAGGGCAAGGGACAGCACTCAAAGGCGACGCTGAAATTGTCAGGACATGTCCTCAGAGCCGTGAGGCCAGGACTGTGTCTGTCTCATCGGTGTGTTCTCAGGCTCAGCACAGAGTCTGGCCCTCAGTGGGTGGTCACCAAGTGCTGGCTGGATTAATGGGGGACAGCATTTGTCCATCCTGAATGAGGACCCAGGTGGGGTGACAAAAGGTCAGACCCAGGGACAAGTACAGAAGTCCCAAGGCTGCTCGGCTTTCCCCTTTCCGACTCTGCACAGGACCCTCCAGTGGGGTTTATTCAGGTCACACAAAATCTCTCATTAGAATCCAAATCGTACAGAGCCCCAGCACACCTGGGTGGTTGCATCTCCTTCCCAGACAGTGCCCACATCTGGCCACTGGAATGACAAAGATGCCACCTCCTCTTCCATGGGATGATCAGAATAAACATACAGCCCTGCAATGTTCCAGGCTATGGGGACACAAAGTGCAAGACTAGATTTCTCCAGCAGAAAATCTCCATAACCTGAGTGTGTACCACGTCGAAACAGGACAAGGAGAAGATTTCCACTGTGCTCACATGGGCAGGTCCAAAACCACTTACAAAAGGCTGGTTGGGTCACTGAGCGGACACCCAGAGTGAAGGAAATGCCTGGAGGCTCTACTTACGGTCCTGGAGGGGCATGTCCTCTGCGGGGCGCTGCGGGGAGAGCTTCGTGCTTGGGCCGAAGAGCCCCTCATCAGGGTCCACCTCCTCATCAAAAATGGTGAGTCGGGGTGAGGGTTTAGGTTTCACAGCCACTTCAGGGCGTTTCTTGGACTTCTTAGAGCTACGGAATCACAGACACAGCTCAAGGTTAGGACTTTTCATGAGAGCCCCGCCGGCTGGCGCAGGTGGCCTGGTCAGAGCCACGCAGGCGAGGTGAGCCTGAGCTTGTGTGAAGAAGGAACTTTCAGGTGCCCTGAGGTGTGAGGCCCTGCTAGCAGAAGCGGCTGAGCCCTGTGCTCCGTCAGGGTGTGCGGGAGGAGCAGGGAAATGTCTGAACGAACCAGATGACTGCCGGACAGCTCCCCGCCCAGAAGGGCCAGCCAGGACTCAGGCCTGCCCGCATGAGCACCGGGCAGAGAAGCTGCTCTCCTTCTGGACGCTGTGGGGGCCAACGGCCCCTCGTGCTCCCAGGGCCAGGCTCAGTCACTTCACAGCCACTTGGAAAGGGGGGTGGACGTAGTCTGAGGCTGGGAACAGGTGGTACCCAGGGACCAGCAGAAAGCAGCCTCGAGAAGTGAAACCTCCGTCACTCCAGCAAACACTTCAGTTCCACTGAGCGAACCCCACCTCCTTCAGGAAACCTCTCTGGCTACTCAGAGCCCCACTGGCTCTGTCACCCCCACCAAGGTCCCTTGATGTCTCATTCATCCACTGGCCAAGGTCCTGCCTTGGACCAGATGGTGCTTCGGAAAACTGGGAGAGGGCACGCCGGAGGCTTCTGGGCCACGGGACTGCTTCCTTTCCTGCCCCGGGTGGTGGTGACACAGAGCGCATGGAAGCCTTTACAGACTCGAACCCTGCAGGTCTGCATACATAAATCACATGGCGAATAAATAAACAAACCTCGTTTTACTTTAACACAGCGATCCAGTCCCTGCTGTGGATGCCAAAATTAGCCATTATAAGGTTCCAGCAAATAGTGAAAATACGCTTTTTACTGGAAACAGGATTTCTGGTGTGCCCGTCTCCCTGGCAGGCAGATCCGCTGGACAGAGGTCACCGTCTGAGCGCCTGTTGGCAACACAATGTGGGAAACTGCAGAAGCCCTGCCCGCCTCGATGGCACCGACCAACCAGCGGCAGATGGACAGAACGGCAGGCGGCCCTGGGTGCTGGAGGGCAGGGTGCTCAGAGGCGACCATTCCCACGTTTGGCTGCAGACTTCCGGTAGAATCTCAGGCTCAGCTGAGATGGGAGAAGCTACGGGAGCTGGAAAGGCACCCGCTGCTGGGTCACACCTCCAGGATGGAGCACACCTATGCACTCAGGGCCGAGGCCCCACTCACGGTCCTGTGCTCTTGTCCCCTTGAATTGTCCCCATAGCAGGGAGGAGATGCAGGATGGGGTGAGGACAACAGGCTTGGGCCTACACATTTCGAGGACGAGATGGAGAGCAGAGGCTCAGTGGCAAGATTGTGCCTGGAAGTCCCAAGCGCCCCTGTCCCTGCTTCCTCCATCCTGGGCACAAGCCAGACAGGCTCAGGGCACAGACCCCTAGGGACACGCCTCTGCTTTGGTGCCACCCCCCGGGCCCTGCTTGTGGTGCTGGGCAAGATGGAAGGAGCCAGGCCTTCTCCCTCATCACAGCGAGTGCTTTCCAGAAACTTCAGCCATGCCACCTCACACACCCTGAAGGGCCAAGGTAGCCTGCTCCGACAGGGACACCTGCTTTTAGTTTCACAGATCAGGCCGAGCCAGTTCGCCTTCATGACCCCTGGGAAGTGGGTACCAATGACAGGCCATGCCCCTCGAGGCAGGCCAGCCAGAGACGGCCCTAGCTGAGAGCTACGGGGTCAGAACCCCAGGGCCGGCCCAGGAAGCTGTGTTGGACTCTCCGAGGAATCTGGAGCCACTGGCCCAGCCCGGGGCCTGTGGGTTCTGCCCCACTGCTGCCCTCAGTCACCCAACAGCCAGCCCTCACCTGGCGCCCTGGAGCAGGGGGCCAGAGACTTCCCACGGACCAGAAATCAGAGGACGGAAAGGAGGAAACTGTCTGGAGAACAAAGGAAGTGAGAGAACAAACGTGATGAATTCTGTCTGGAGAAGCTTCAGAGATCTCAGTGATTTCCCTTCTTACACCTACTTCTGGTTCTGAGGACACAGGTTAGGCCAGACTTTCCTGCTATGTGAATTTTCCTCTCAAATTGGATGAATGATCTTGTTTTTCTCCCCAGAGACATTTCTGATCTTTCATTGTCTTGAACTGACATAAAGTGAATCTATGGCTCGTGGGGCCGTTCAGTCGGGCACCCTCTGTACTCTACCCCATCCACCCAGGCCATCCTCCGTCCCCAACTCTCCCTGACCGTCTCCAGGGGACACAAAGAACAGGCAGGAAATATGGAGCACTGACAGCTCAAAGCCCCAGGGTCCTGCTCTGGTCGGCCCCCGATCTTTAGTCTCTGGGACACGAGAGTGTGCCTGGTCCAGAGCAGACGCTCAATAGATACTGGATGAAAGAAGGATGGAGGGATGAAAGGAAGGAAGGAGGGGAAAAGGGAAGGACAGACGAATGAACAGACAGATGGACACAGATGATAGTACATCTCTTGTCCAGACTGATCTCTACCTGCTCCTCCAGGAAGAGTGGAAAGGGCATGAAGACGGGGTTCCCAGCACCAGTCGGAGACAGAGACGGTACCTGGAAGGCTTTGCTCCTCCGAAGCTGGTCTCCTCACCCGCCCTCAGCCACTCTGTACGCAGCAGGTGTGTTCACTCCGAACGCCCTCTGTGACCCAGCACTCACGAAGCACCTCCCACGCGCACCTCCGGGCTCAGCAGTGTCCCCAGACGCTCACAGCTGAGACTCAGAGGCCCATAAACCCCTCATGACCACACAGGGCACCAGTTCCGGAATACGCGGAGCACAGGGGAAGGATCCAACCCAGCCCTAGGGCTTCCTGGAGAAGGCAAAGCGAAACAGACATGGACTCAGGCAGAGGAAGTGAGCCCCTCATCTGTGGGGGTCTGCCAGGGGCATGGCTTGGGCATGATCAGGAACCGGGTCCCCAGGGCAGCTTGGCTCACGGTCCATGGAGAAATGATGAGGGCCTGGCCTGGGGGAGCACTGCAGTGTGACGGGGAGACGGGGAGACAGGGTCAGGGGGAACGTCAGAAGGCAAAAGAGCTCCTAGAACATTTGGACTGTGAAGTGATCAGTGAGCAGAAGGGGTGTGTCTAGAATGATGCCAGACTTCTGGCCTCAGGGAGAGGTCAGGCGTGTCCTGGGTAAGGTGTGTCTAAGCCCAGTTTCTTCCCCTCATTCACAGACTGCATGAACGAGGACTCAGGCTGCATACACGGGCTGCAGCCCTGCCCGCCCCCACCAGCCCTGTCCCTGCTCTACTCCTGCCCACTGTCTGCAGGTTGCGCCGCCCAACTCTGCCGTGCCCATCTGCCACCCGCCGCTGCACCACGATAAAGGATGCTTCTCTTCTCCCTTCGGCGAAGGGCGGGCCAACAGGATTAGACTCTTGTCACCAGGGCTAGGGCAACGGGGCACGGAACAGAGAAGTGAGCGGTGGACAGACCTCCTGGTAAGCAGGAAGGAGGTCACCTGAACCTGGGCAGGCTCGAGCCCGGCACAGGTGGCATGGGGGGAGGGGGTGGGAGCAGGCGTGTGGAAGCAAGTCCCTGTAGCATGCAGGTCCAGCTCTCCTGCTTCGTGTGCCTGATGGCAGACAGCGGTCCAGGGCGGGCCACATCATGCGGGTGGAGCAAACTGGAGGGTGGCGGCCCGGCGAGGCCGACAGCTCCCACAGTCCAAGGAGCAGCCCTGCTCACGGGGCTCAGGGAGTTGTGGCGACAGTGACGGACAAACGACGGCAGCCCCCCCTCCAGCCACCCAGGGGGTCTGTGTCCGTGTTCCCGGATGCACCTGCCCCCCTGGCCGACCACCGAGGGGCACCAGCTGCCCAGGACCTGTGTCACTTGAGTTGCGGGAGCATCTCCTGGACGAAACAGAAGGTGCTGGATCCTTCTGAAGCCAAGACTCACAGACAGCACGACTTACCTTCCAAGCCAGGGTGATGTTTAACCAAATACAGAAGTCAACCTTCTTTCCAATCATACAATGTTCCTGCTTTCCAATAAAGTATTTTTCATTTTAAAATTTTAAATTCAGTTTCTTTTCACTGAGGGAAAATCTTCAGAGTGCCCATAAATGAGCTTTTGTGAAATGCTATTTGTAGTAGTACCAGGCCTCGGGGCCTCCACGATGACCCAGTCATCAGCATGGTGCGGCTCATGGAAGACAGGCAGCCGCCCCGGGAGCTGGGCCAGCCTCCCCGGACGGGAGCTTCGGGGAAGCGCTGGACGGGGGCTGAGCAGAGTCGGGAAAGCGGCGCTCCAGGCAGAGACCGGCCCGGCACAAAGGCCAAGGTGGGAAGCGCCAAGTGGCCAAGAGCCGGGCAGCAGGCACACGGGGGAGGAGAGTCTGAGGGAAAGTCGGGGCACAGCCCAAAGGGCCTGGGGAAGAGTCTGGCCTTTTTGTTCCGGGTAAGCAGCCCTGGAGGGGGAATGCCAGGGAATCCACATATGACCTCAGGCCAGTCATTCACTTCTCTGGGTCTGTTCCCTTAGCTCTTGCATGGGAGTAAGGAATGCTCTGGAAGCTGGAGCCCACATGCAGACTGGCACAGGGCACAGTGGGAGCCCGATGCTGACAAGGTTCACATCATGTTTCCGCCCCTCGAGGGACTTTATTCTGGGCCCTAAATAAATAAACAAGGCCTGCCTGGTAAACACCCATCATTTGCTGTAGCCCCAGGGTCACACTCAAGGCTCTTTCTCAACAGCCGGAGCCTGACTCCCCAGGCCACTGAGCCTCACCTGAGGGCTCACTGACCAGGCCCTCATGATGCCCCTGCCCTCTCAGCTTGTGCGTGCTGACGTTTCTTCTCTGCACGGGGGCCAAACCCTGCCCCTCACCTAGCACACACCTGCACCACCACTGAACCAGGCTGGTCTGGGTGCAGGGGGTCCGCCCCCCACTGCTGGAAAGCAAGGACCCAGCTCTGGCCGCACCCGAAGTGCCCCGAGAGACCGAGTATACAAATGCGCA